ACCCAATAAAATTTACGGTAGACAACGGTAAACAAAAATTCTTGGAAACGTTCACTTTTCCACTAGCTCGACTGCATACGACTTTTCTCTTAATTCGATTATACAACTTATAATTATTTATTTCAATTATAGTATTAACATAATGAGTTTAATATAATTAAGCGTAATTACTTTATAAAAAAAATCAAAAACTTTCTTTTTCTTCAAAGTAGTGATAAGTTTAAAGATTTATGCATAGGGGGAAATGAAAAAGTTATGAAGAAAAAATAAAAAAGTGTGCACGAGTAAGTATACTTGATATATCTTAAAAAAAGTGCTTTGACGATTTGAATATAAAAATAGTTGTGAAAGAGTTAACAACAAAATTATTCACCAAGAACTGTCTATACCTATGAAATAAATATATATACATATTTAAATGTAATATCAACTGAAGAAGAAAATATATAAAATTTAGTTCATTTACACATAATATATTTATTTAAACTTTTCATGGAATATATTAACAAGTGTATCTCAGCTATAAACTTATTCTCCGTACAACAATAAATAATTTATCCGCGTTCACTTCAAATATTGTGTTTTATGTTTAAATAAAATTTCATTTTAGGAAACATATCATGCAGAATAATATATATATTTTTACATTTAATTTTTTGCAATTGTCAATTGCAAATTAACTTTTCTTTAGATAAAAAATGGAAAAAAAAAATTCGTCCTTAATTGCTTCGGTTGAATATTTACTTTAAGATCAATTTTTCATTTTTTTCAGCTGAGTGAAAAATAAATTGAATCGTTTATTTTTCTGCTCTAAATTGTCATAGCTGATTTTTTTTCTTGAATATTTTTGCATTTATTAATTTCTCAAGCATTTAATAATTCATTGTTCAGTCTGATGATGTGTTCTATCTCTATTTTAATTAAGTAATTGTATTAGCCCCGTATTCTCATTTATTTTCTTTCAATTATAGTAAATTTTAAGCTGAAAAGTTAAATTGAATAAAATTTTACATTACTTCAATGAATTATCAATATTATTTTAATAGAATTAAATTAAAATAACCAGTTTTATGTTTTATTATTGAACAGACTAATTACTTAATTGAATTATTCATGTAATTATTAACAAATAAAATTATAAAGTTAAAATATAAGATCTTCCGTTAATTGTCATTTGATATTAGCAATTTATAATTTGGTAAATAAATAATATTATAATTGGGGGGAATAAAATTAATTTTTGACAAGTGATTTCCACAGCTTATTATTGACAAATTAACTCGAAAAAATATAGATAAAAATAAAGATATATCAACTTCCAATGGAATTAAAAATGAATTATTATCAATAAAAATTTTCAGTAAACGAAACTGCTAATAATTATTACCTTTAATGTTAATAAAATCTTCGAAGAATATATATCCTAATATAAAATTGAGATGAAATGTATGTGGCATCAAACTATTCGTAACGTGATTGGTTGAATATATCATAAGCATGAAAATATATGCAAACTCTATAGTCAAAGCGCGCGCTTGCGCGCGTAAATTCAAATTCTAGTGACAGAAAACTTAACTAAGCTAATTTTTTAGCTTTGATTAATTTAACAGAACTCATAAATTTTAAGGACCCGGGTCAAAAAATTAATTAGACTAAAAACCGAACAAACTTTTAAAACTTTTTAGTCTTATAAGATTAAAAACAGCATAAAATATTCATAGCTGCTCAATTATTTTACTAAAAGGTTATTTAGACTTAAAACAGATCAAAAATAATTTTAATAGTAGATCAAATACCGATAAAAATGTTTTTTAAAGTTTAAATACAAATCAATAAGTTCAAATGCAGATCATTTAGCTTAAAATCAGTTTAAATTTTTCGACCCGGGGATGACGTAAAATTTTTCAAATTTACGTATTTCAAAAAAAACAAATTTGTCAATGATTAGATAAGATTAATATATGCACTCGCTCTACATGTTCTTAATTGAGATAATTATTTTTTATGCAAAAAACAATGTCGTGTTAAGTGATATGGTATAAATATCATCGATCTCATTTTACTATTTTGTTATATATACATCGATATGAAAAGAGCTCTTGTGATCGTTTGATGTTTCGATCTTGCAATAGTTGGTCGTCCTCAAAGTGACCTTTTCCGCTATGAATTTATTTTAGTAGCTGATATTATATAGCCTTCACTACTTTTGCTCATGAAATTCAAAGTTCGTACACTGGATGAGTATGTATACGTTTCTCATTCACTTCCATCGTCAAATGTTTTATTTATCATGCATTTATCCCATCATTGCTAATAAATTTTTTTATTTTAATTTCTTATCTATGTATATAACGTAAAAATTTAGAAAAGACATTTTTTGAATGAATTCAAATTAGAATTAAATAATAATTTTTATTCATGTGACTCTGCATCCGATAATGCATCATATTGATCCATAACATTAATAAAAATAATGTTGAATTTGGGCGACCTTTCACACGAGGTCGCGATTTTTTTCTTTTTATAATTTTTAACTTCCAGCTAAAAATCTCAGATTTTCAAAAATCGGGAAGTTATTGTTTTCACCCCGTTTTACAAAAATCGAGTTTTCATCAGATCTCGACGTTTGAAGGTCACAGGAAGCTTCCCTGACTATTTTTACGATGATGTCCGTACGTCTGTATGTATGTGTGTGTGT